ACATTTACCACAAATTAAAGGTATCTTATATTATTAGATATATTATTATAAAACATGTTTTGGTTAAGGAGTTATTGATATTTCAAGTGCAAAATGATGATATAAAACCATGATAAAAATGCACTTTTAAGTACTAATCATACCCTCAACCAATACTAATACCTATGACCTTACAAAGATCCTTAAGAAAAAAAAATCCAAAACCACAGTCATAATCCCAGAATTACATTTTAAGATCAAAATCCTCAAATTCGAGTTACAAACCTTAAAACAAGCCCAACAAAAAGACTCTGCCATATTACAATATCTTTTTTCCAAAATTAAGAGATAGTTTGACACTGAATCCAAACCAGACAACCTAACTATTGAGTCTCATATATTACCTCATGCTCTTACAAACATTGAACATGTTCCTAATAACTTCTTGAATGTGTTAACCCAAATATCTTTCAAAAAATACTTGATTAAAATTACATTAATTTTTTTAGATGATTTCAAATTAGACATTATTACTTTATTTGACACAAGTGCAGATTTAAATTGTATTAAAGACGATGTAGTTCTAAAATGACTTCTACAAAACACCTCTTAAAAACTCTTTGCTGCTAATAATTTAAAATTATATATTGCAGGCAAAACTTAAGCCTCTGTTTTCAACGAAGGCATTTCTTTTAAAATATTTTTTGTTGTCATAAAAGATATTAATCATACTATTATTCTTGAAACTCTATTTATTGATATGATTACTCCATACAAAGCACATCATGACTACATTACCTCTAAAATCAAAAGCATCAAACTTGTTTTTCCATTCATAGAAAAATCTAAGACTAGGAATTTAAATTTGATCAAAGCATACTCTATCCATACATATCTATAAACATATTAATTCATGGTAAACAATTCTAATTGCATGATTTACAAAACCATGTTTCCTTTTATCGTATTGAGAAACAATTACAAAATTCTATTTTACAAAAAAAAAAATTGTTGATTTACAAAGTAAGATTGAACAACAAATCCATTTAGACCTACCTAATGCTTTTTGAAAAAGAAAACAACACATTGTTGATCTTCTTTATGTAGATACTTTTTTAGAAAAACATATACCTACAAAAGTAAGACCGATACACATAAATGTCGATTTAGAACAATATTGTAGACTTGAGGACCAGGATCTCAAGGCTAAAGGTCTTATCCAAAAGTCCCGATCATCTCAGTCATGTGTAGCCTTTTATGTAAATAAAAACTATGAGATTTAAAGAGGCACACCAAGATTTATGATCAATTACAAACCTTTAAATTTTGCTTTAAAATGGATCAGGTATCCAATTCCAAATAAAAAAGATTTATTATAAAAATTACATTTGACATTTATCTTTTTCAAATTTGATATGAGCTCTAGCTTTTTGCAAATCCAGATTGATCCAAAGGATTGATACAAAACTACATTCATTGTTTGTTTTAGCCAATACAAATGGAATGCCATGCCTTTTGGCTTGAAAAATACATCATCTGAATTCCAACGCATTATGAATGACATCTTCAATGTATATTCAAAATTTTGTATTGTTTATATTGATGTTGTTCTTATATTTTCTCATTTTATAGATCAACATTTCAAACATTTATATATATTTTTTCATACTGTAAAACAAAATGGTTTAGTTGTTTTTAAATAAAAAATTTCTCTATTTCAAACTCGTGTCCGTTTCCTAGGACATTATATCTGTTAAGGTACTATAACACCCACAGAGATATCTTTATCTTTTACAAATAAATTCCCTAATAAGATTACTGATAAAACTCAGTTGCAAACGTTTTTAAGGAATCTTAATTATGTTTAGACTATTATCCAAACATTAGTCGTCTAGCCAAAAACCAACTTATTTCCTTGGTCTGACCTCCATACCAACCTTGTCATACAGATCAAGAAACAGGTCCAAACCATTCCTCTCTTCCATCTGGCTAACCCATTAGCTCCTAAGATTTTTGAAACCGATGCCTCAGACCTAGGATATGGTGGGATCCTTAAATAAGTGCAAAATAACAAATAAAAAAATCCTTTAGCATATATTAGCCTATTGGAATGATTGCTAGAAAAACTATTTCACTATAAAAGAAGAGATCTTTTCAATTGTTCTTTATGTTACAAAATTTCAAGTGATTTATTAAATCAAAAATTCCTCTTACGTGTTGATTGTAAATTTGTGAAAATTGTTCTTACGTGTTGATTGTAAATTTGTGAAAAAAAATTTATAAAAAGATGTCTAAAATCTTGTTTCAAAATAGAATTTTGCCCGATGGCAAGCTATTTTAAGCATTTTTTATTTTAACATTGTATACATTAAAGGAGATTCCAATTCCATCTCTGATTTTCTAAATCATGAATTCCTTAAAAACAGGTCTTGATGCCTCCTAAGGCAAAATCCAAAGACAAGGGGAGCTAAACCCAACCTACAAAACCATAAAGCCTAAATCCTTTTATAAAACTCATGTCTTCAACCATCCTAATTGCCAAACCTCTCAAATCCTAGTATGAGACAGTCGTTGAAGAAGAAGAAACTACAACAAAATCACCAGTACAAACAGACTCAATTCAACATTGGGTTGACACTATCTCTAAATTACCAGAATTACTTCTAGCTTTATAAAAAATCTCCCAACAAACCTCTAGTGGCCATGAATCACCAACAGGTAGTATTTCTAAACCCCTTTCAAAACCACAAGCAGATTTTTCTCCTTAAAAACCCTTGTTTGCTTTACAAACTCCGTAGCAAAGCTTTTCAAAATCTAAATCACAACACATTTTCAAAACTAAATTCCAAAATATTTTAACTATGGAAGAAGGCTTTTATCATGAAAACCCTTCCATTGCAGCTTCAAAACTATTCCCTTCACATTGGCATTACAAACCTTTGGATTTAAAAAAATCTCAATCCTACTATGTTGTCATCCTTGAAATCACAAACTTTATCAAATTCAAACATTTTAAAATCCATTCAAGCCACTCCGAACCAGTATATTTCACATGCATCTTTAACAAAATCCTTCAACCTTCAAATTGGGGTCAACCCTTACATAAACCCACCTCTTTCCTAACACCCCTCCAGCAAAATAACCAAAATTATGGTATGTACACTTACTGGGATTACAAGCAAGCTTGATTCAATGCCTTTTTCCTTCAAAACACAAATCACAACCACTCTTGGCTTTTCTACTTTCATAATACCATGACAACTACAGACCTCCCCCTTTAGTTCCTCCAATGATGGCATTATTTTAGCTGTCTTGTCGACTACCTCAAAGACCACCCTCTGGTTGAAAATGATTACCTCCATTTCAAAAATAATTTTCAACCAAGTCCTTTTGAATGGAAGTTTTCTTCCAACCTCATTTTCTATAAAAAGTTTTTTGTTCCATAGGTATGTTCATGGTTCTATGATTACAATCTTCAAAACAGATATACAGTTCTTGTTCGTAAATTCAAAATCAAATGGTGGGATCCCTTTGCAGCTAAATCCAAAAATTTCAAATTAGTTGTTACAAAATGGTTACAAAAGAATCAAATAGTTCCCATCATTGATCATTATTCTCAATCCAAATTTCTAGCCTAAAAGGCTCAAATAACAGTTCTCCTTGCCTCTGCTAGAACTGAGGAAGAATACCTCTAAATCATGCAAAACATTATACAAAGCCAAGACCTTAAAACAGTCTTGTCTCAATCCAGCTCATCTAACTTGATATCTCCTACCATATCCCTTGGAGATGATAATAAAGATGACTGTTTTGGCATTCTGTCACCTATCAAAAGACACTAAAAAAAAAAGTGTCGACAGAAACTTACAAAATACTTTCAGCTTAAGCGTCTCCTACTTATAAAAAGTGTTTCCCACTGCTAAAAAAAGACCTCATCCACTTATAAAAGGTGTCTCTCACTACTATAAAAGGCACCATCCACTTGCAAAAGATGTTCCCCACTACTACAAAAGCAAGGGCTTCCCTTGTCTATAAAAGGGGGCTTCTTTCCATTTTAAGGGTGGAGCAAGAAACAATAATTTATCTAGTTTCTCTATAGAATCATAGTCCTCTATAATTTTACCTTTGTATCAATTCAAAAAACTTATAACTCATATCTCCTACAAATTATCACCAGCTTTGTATTAATACAAATTTCAATTTTGAGATTCATTTCTTAAAACTTTTAAATCTTTACATGATTGTATTTATGTTCCTTTAAAATTATCTTGCAAATTAAGTATGCTCTATGTTTGATCAAGGATTTTGACATTACTGATCTTGCGTTGTTCATTCGTATTAGAAAGTTATTTGTTTCCTTTTCTTCTTTCTTAACAAAATTAGTATATAGGTTGGAAACTTGTGACTCGATCTAAAGATCATTCTCAGGTATAACAACGTCACGTACTATTTTCTCATTTTAATGTTTCCCACCATGTACTGTTTTTTCATTTTACTATTTCCTTATTTCTCATTGTTTCCTCATTCTTTATTGGTATCAAAACCAACCAAAATATTAGAAAAAAGAACCTTTAAAATATTAAAAATATCTGCATGAAAGTGCAAATTTACACATGATTGATTTCATTTAAAAAGAATCAAGTAAGATAAAATAGGATTTTAAATTGAGTGTGAGTTTGCTAATGCATTTATGTGCTTTTGAAAAAAATATGTTTAGGTCTCTTAGAATTACTAATCTTATATAGAACAAATTAACAATAAAAAGATTAATATATAAAGTTGATAAAAAAAACCTTACATCATAAAACTGTGACAATTATGAAAAAATTAATATTATCTTAAATGAAATTTAAACTTGATTATTAAATTCAATATAATAATAGTGTCATTAAAATGCAATGGTTATTGAAAAATATGATGCTAATAAAATTCAAATTTAACTATCAAATTCAATAAAATAAAAAAATCATAATTACAATATCTAGTTTAAGGCTTTATTTAAAATAAATAAATAACATTGATCAGGTCTCACCCTGATTTTAACAAAGTTATCCAGATTTGATTAGATTAATTCTTTAAGTGGTTCAAAATTAAACCCTATCTATACTAAATCTCATGTTAGTAAGTAATCAGGTTTAGTAGCTGAAGGGAGTCAAATAATTACCGTAAAAAACTTAATGTTTTTCTAATCATTTTGGCATTAATATATTCTAAAATATCTAAAAAAATCAATTATTTTAAAAAATCACATTTAAATATGGTTAAAATACATTATTGTACACATTTTAAGAATATATATAACATTATAGTACCCTTGTTTAGTCATCACAACAAAAGCATACATCACGAAGGAATAAAATCATAATATAAAGTAAATAGACCACGACAGTAGTAGCAAATAAATAGAAGCCTGCTTATTCTTGATAATTTCCTCGATCACTTTGCCTCAGCAACTCCTTGATCAAGCGAAATTAAGTGGCGAATATCATATGGATAAGTATAGGAAGGGTCTAAAGCACTGTAAGATCTCTCTGCATAGAAAATATTAAAGATCTCAGTTGGATGGAATGAGTCCCAGAACATGTATTGGGTCCTATTCTGGCATGGAACTTGGTCCGGAATGCATTGACCAATGGCAGACGATGGACAGCACGCTGTATTATTGACCTTGAAATCTGAGAAACATAAGGACAGATATTCAGGTGGTAAGGACGCCACATCTTAAGTAGCCGAAATAAATAAAGAAAGAAAGAAATGCAACACGAGTAAAAGCCCCATTAATTCCTACCAAGAACTGTAGCATCCTCGCCGATCTTATAGTTGTTTATATATATAATTTTTGCATCCGGCAAGTCATCATTGAGTTCATCAATGACTGGTAAGAGCTTGCTGTTGAAAAGCTGGGAAGCATTGTTCAAAAGCTCTACACAAGCAGATCCGTTGGTGCCATATGTGTCAATTGCACCTGGGACACAGCCTATTTTCCCTAGTCCGAATACCACTAGTTTCCTTGCTCCTAACTCGTACAAAGACTGAAGGGCCAACAGAGAGTTGATTAGGTAAAATCCGAAAAAGGAGAGAAGCAATTTCCAATTAAAGGGTCAGAAAGAAGAAGAATGTAGTGCTAACCCTTAGTTGCTGCGAGTATTGCTCAATAAGAAGTTGGGTGTACTTCTCCAAGGTATACTCATGGCTTGTTGGGAAGTACTGGGGCAAGAAATAGTTGTTGAGGTAGTCATTGTTGCCCATTCCAACCGAATATAGGCACTTGTTCAAGTTTCTTAGAGCTGAATCATTTCCTAACATGCCAATCAAATTCTGTACTGTTTTGTGGTGATTTTGTAATTGCATATTCATGCTTATACGTTCACCCTGCATCCACGAGGACGTCAATCATAATTAAGAACTATCTATGGCGACTTGAAACATTGTATGTGCAGTGTGTGTGTGTGTGTGTGTGTGTGTGTGTGTGTGTGTGTGTGTGTGTGTGTGTGTGTGTGTGTGTGTGTGTGTGTGTGTGTGTGTGTGTGTGTGTGTGTGTGTGTGTGTGTGTGTGTGTGTGTGTGTGTGTGTGTGTGT